TCACTATGAGAGACTTCTGAGGGAAGTCTCTGATTATTGGAAAAAGACAAGGAGGATGATGGATGGATCCAAGCTTGCCAGCCTTTTGGGCTTTGGGAATATCATGGTGCAAGTGCTCTTGGCAGTCATTTCTGGGCACATGAACAAGGTGATTGGCAATAGCCAACGTGGATTTACCAAAACATAAATTATGCCTGACCCAGCCAATTGTCTTCTGTGATGAAACACCTAGAGAGTGGATGAGAGGAATGCAATGTACATTGTATAACTTGATCTGGAGAAGAGAAGGCTTAGAGGGAACCTAATACCAGATGTCCAATGCCTACAGGAAAATAGAGCTAGGCAGGCTCTACAGAGATGGGTAGAGGAAATGATGATAAATTCAAACATGAGAGGTTGCAACTTGGTATAAGGAAAAAAAAATATTTAATGATGAAGATAAGCACTGGGATGTCTTAACCAGCGAGGTTGTGAAATCTCCATCCTTGGAGTTTTTCAAGGTCTGACTGGACAAGAATCTAAACAATCTGGTTTGAATTCACTGTTGGTCTTGCTTTCAGAAGAAGGTTAAACTAGATGACCTTAAGAGATCCCTTCCAACTTGAATGATTGTGTGATTTTGTGATTTAATACTTTGGTCATAAACTGAGAAAAATAAATATCCCACTCCTAGTCACTAAAGTCATAACTCCAATCCAGGGGATATTCCCCAAGCTGAATTATTTGGAACATTTTACTCCAAACTGGCCTACCTCATTGCCAATTAAGGGCAGGGTCAGGAATGCCTGAACCAAAATCTGATTAATGCAGTATTTGAAATGTTAAACTAGTCAGAAAATCAGTTACTGTAAATCTAAATCACTGTTGTATGGAATATAACATTTTTGATTGTTTTAAATGTATCTGCCATGTTAGAACAGGAGCTTGTACTATGAAACCCAGCCTTGATTTGATACTCAGTTTCCCAAACTGTTGATTATTTTGTCTTCCGATCTAAATTCTTGTCACATTTCTAATGAAGCAAGTACAGCAACTTAATGAAAAGATGATTACTTCTGTCTCTGGTTGTCCTGCAGGCTCTGTCAGGTTTTTTTCAGCTTGCATGTCATCCCTTGTGTTCAGGAAACAAACAAAAAAAGCATTTGAAGCCTTGAATAAACATGGCAACCACTTTGTGTTGAAGATGCTTTGCTTGTGCTTTGATGGGAAAATAGCTGTTGATCATTTAGTTTTCAGATAGCATATCTGCTTTGGAATGTTTTTAGTGTTCCAAAATGTATTTACAAACCAGAAAAAGAAGATTCAAGGAAGAGGTAACTATAGCACCACTGTTTGCTTCTGGAGTTTTGTATCAAGAGGCAGCCAAAGAAAATAGTTCAGATACTGAAAATGAAAAGGAGATTCAAATGTAAAGATATAACTTCTGTTTCTGTTGATTTAGTGCTAAATAGGACTGTTTATGTTATAATTAAACTAATTTTCTATATTGCAAAAACAAGGAAGGAGGAAAACAATTCATTCTTTTCTTACATTGGAAAAATTTCAAAGATATGTTAATCTTACAGTCTTACAATGAGTATTTACATATAATGAGGCTATGAGTTCTTGTTTTATGTCTTCTAGAATTAAATCCTAGGAAGCTTTTATTCATGCTTAAATAACATTTCTGCCTGCATGCTTTTGAAGATACTGGACTGAATTTCAAGTTTCTCTGTAGTTGTCTTGGGTTTTTAAACACTTCAAAAGAACTGAAGGTGTCCTCTAGGAATGTGCTATGAACATCATTATGTTACAAATAGTACACCTCTATGAAAATACAATATACATTGCCTCATCATCCAGATGAAGGTATTGACCAGAATCAGACCCAGCATATACATCTTGGGTACACTGCTGGTTTCTGGCTGGTCTCCTATTTATAGGAAGAAGGAAAACTCTCCTAGTGTAGTTTTTTCATACATATTTATATATAGTAATAAAATATACTGTAGTAGAGAACTACATATATACTGACATATTTTTAAATACATGCAGTATATAAAATTGTGTTGGGTATTGTTCAGTATCAGTAGCTATTGATGACAGCTGGCAACCCTTTCCAAATTAATATTTTGTTCTTTATGAACAATGGTGGAATTTAATTAAATCTGAAAAACTGATGCTTTTCAGATAAGAGACGTGAGAATATCCTAATGAAGGCAAGAATTCCTTTCATGCTTATTGGGTTGTTTAATGGAAGCACTCTCCTGTCAGCTTCCCTGGGACTGCTCTCCTGTTCACTCTTTCTTCCTTACTTTCTTTTGCTATCATGTCCCATCATTTAGATTTTATGGGAAAGTAGGAAAGCATACAGGGCCTAAGTTGCCCTGGCAACTTTATCCCAAAGAAATAACTATCTGTATAATATTTTAGAAACTTGAAGGCAGACAGAGAAGGCTTCTGAGCCAAGTCCCCTGTGCTATTTACCATATCATACAGTTTTGCTAGCAAAATGTATATTAATGCTAGGAACACTGAGTATTAATTAACAGATTGTTCTGCATGTGTTTTAGCTCTTGCTTTTCTTATTTAATGTCCTCTTCAGTGAAGAGTCTCTGTTCACATCCTGTAGAAAAAAAACGAGCAGATTTAAATTGTATTTTTTCTTCATAGAATATTAATGTCTTAAATATGATAGGGTAGAGAGCCGTGTTATACACTGCAAATACTTGAAGAGTGGTATGGGAACTATAATTATGTTTCAGTTTGGGGCATGTACAGGCTCTTCTGTACTATTTCCTTTGCATAGTTTTTCACATTTAATCAGTCATAATATCTCCCAGCAGACTGGTATGTTCACAGTCACTCAGCTCTGGCTCAACCAAGATCTAACTCAGCAGGAAATGTCTTCACCACTATGTGAGGCAGTTGCTCATGAAAGTTTGCTTGCTACCTCACTTCATTATTCACTTCAAAGTCTTCCATTGTTATAGTCCAGGTATAAATGATACTTACTTGTATAAAGTAAATCATACTACCTCCTTGGTTCCTGTGGTGAGCTTAAGATTTTACATACTGCATGCTTTTGGTTATGTAGGGGAATCAGAAATCTTTCTCTCCTTCCTGTATTTGTCCTTATCTTTAAGTTCTTAGCTGTATCTTTCACTAGGATGTTGATGATATGACCAAAGTGAAAATATTTGCTTTGCTATAGACCTGGAGACACCCCTGTGTTTTAGTTCTGGAGAGCTCACATTCTTATTTCAGAATAGAAATAGTGACCAATCTGTATTTTATATACAATAGCACACTCTAGTGTGTATATTAATTAGCCATTATGGGCTGATTGTCATTATGTTTAACTCAGTTTTTCATTGATTTAGTTCTGTTGCATTCATTATTATTATTTTTTCTCTATACTTGCATGAATTGGAGGAAATATATATATCTTCAATTGATATATTAATCATAATGATTAACAGAGTCATTATGGTGCTGACTGTTACAATTTTTTTAAATGATGCTTTGAAAGAAAGATGATTTTGTGGAGATGAAAATCTCATTGTAATGAGAGTCCAATATAATAATTATCAAAGAATACTTTGATATGCAGCCACTTCTTTCTTTTCAGGTAGCTGTGGTTGTTTGCCCTAATTTGTAGTATCAAGACTCTTTTGATGCTGTTTTTGGCACGTGTTAGGACAGTGATGCAAAATAGTTTTTCTAAGCATCCACTTTAGATAATGCAGTTGCTTTAAATTAGCTGAGGAGAAAGTGAGACAGCGAGTACCCTTTTTTCCAGTTTTGTGTGTGGTTTCATTTATTGCTGTTACAATCTGTGTGCCATGCAGGTGTGCCAGAGCAAAGGTTGGTGGGGAATCTGCTCAGAGTTTGTGCGTGGAGCGCGTTTCCCCCCAACAATTCAAGACAATCTACTTCTTAAAACATTGCAGAAAGAGGTGTCAGCTTAAGGGTGAGCAAATATAATCAAATAAACTAAGTTTGAGGTCTTTACTGTCTTCTTCCCCAATCAGACCTCACAAATCCTCTACTGTGGATCTCTGCTGAGAGGTGTTGCCCCTACACTTCCCAGTACATGCAGACTCATGCCTGGCATTTCTGCTGAAATGTTGGATGTTAATTAAGAACCCTGTTTAAAATGTCTGTACTAGCAAAGGCTCACTTAGGTCAAAATGATTCAAATAAAAGATATAAGAGTGCTAAGGCTGTTGTCAGGCAGTGGCAAGCTGGAGGGAGGGTGCTCTGTAACCTTTCCTGCTGTCACAAGGTTTCTCTGCCCCATGGTGTCCTTGGGAACTGCTCCTCTCAGGAACTCACCAGCTGTTTGGATCCATCTGCCTCTGCAGTGGTTTGGTTCACAGGGGTCTGACAGAAGAGAAGTGAAGTCTGGAGTCACTTGAATTTTAGATTGTAAGAAAATTTTGAAAGTTCAATGCCATCTTTTCATCCTTCTAATTTAAGTTTTTATTTGATACATCTCTGAAGGTACATGCATTTGGTAGCAATTAGAGCATGTATTTTTTTGAATAAATTGTTTGCAATGACATGTTTTCTCATATAAGAGTCACTAAATCAAAACTATTGAAACATTGATAACTATTGAGCAATTAATTACCTGTTGCTTTCTGACTGTGTGCACACAGTGCCTCATTCTCTTTGGGATGCTTGTGTTAAATTACTTCCAAGCTTGTGTTAAATTACTGTCAGTGTTCTGTGTGATATTCTGTCCATCAAAAGGCACAAGAGGAGGGTGGAAGTCCTCTGAAGATGGTTTTACTTCTTAACTCATGTTTGATTCCTTTCTTAAAATTAAGAAATAAAAATATGTTTAATACTGGGACCTACTTGAATTTAGCATATATATATATCTAAAGAGTCAAGCTGTGTTCATTTCTTCATGAAAGATACCAAAAAATGAGAAAAATAATTGGTATTTACTAGTTATAATTGTTATGTCAGGTGCTTATGTTGTATATAATCTTCTCCATGTTTTTGTACAGGAAAAGCATAAGCAGGAATTAGAAGACATGAGAAAAGCTGGACATGAAGCCTTGAGTATTATTGTTGAAGAATTCAAGGTAAATGAGTTGCCAAGCTAACACAATTTTCAAATAATGTTATTGTAATAATATATATGACTTCCTACAGTACAAACTTATTAGTATACTCTGCTTGTTCTGATTGCTCAACCTCTTTCACTTTGAGACTGTCTTTTCTGTTTCAATTTAGACTGTTTGGTCTGAAATCTTGCATGACATGTTTTCTCAGCCTGCACTTTGGGAAACTTCAGCTAAAGTTGGTTAGCCATTTTCAGTAAGGAAACTTAAAACCAGAACAAACCAAAAATGCTGTCAATTGTGGTGAACTTTGGTTTGGATTGCTTATCACGAATCCACATGTTGGATCTCTTCAGTCTCAAGAGCTGCACTTTCAGGAAAGCAGCATCACAGAGCAATTCAGCAGGTTTTTATCAATGCAGCACTAAGAGAAGGAGTTATGGATGGAATAAGGCTGAATGTGTAATTCTTTCTTGTTGTTTCTAGTTCCTGTCAGCTAGTGACATAAATGAACTGGGTGTTACCATGGATAAATCCATGTCTTTTCTTCTGTTATGGAAACTATCTAGTAAGAATTCCACAAATATGTGTCCATTAATGCAACTTATACTAATTTCATCTAAAGGGAATCTATCCAGAAAAAGGCTTTGAAAGTTTCCATTCCTGAGAAAACTTAGGCATGGCCAATGGTGGTGTCCCACTTCTCCATACCTCCCTCATTTCACTTCTTGAAGAGAATTTTTCTTTTCTTTAAGAGAATGTTTTTTTTGCCTTACTTCTTTGGGGACCATTTTGCAATAGAAGTTCTCAAAGGGAAATTTTCTTTGGACTGTACTGCTTTGTATGGACCACTGAACATCTTCAATATCAGCATTTTTCATGTCTGTTCTGTGCCAGATGTGTAGAAAATATCTAGATGTTTCTTTGTGAACTTGAATTTTGAAAAAGCCTGTGAGCAATTGGTAATTGCTGGACCTATGTTTCCTCCTTTTTTTTTTCTGAAAATGCAAAAAAAATTGTGAAATGCAACATTTTCATAGTATTGAATAAAAGTTTTGAATGTTTTCTAGATATGATTTTTCACCATTTTAATGCATTTGTGTGAGCTAACGAAGAGTTTTGCAGGGGTGATATTGGCCCTTTTAAGGAATAATTTCTTCATGTGTAGTTGGGTAAAGGAATATATTTATGTGCCATATGGATTTTTGAAAACTATTTTGCCAGTCAGCAGCAGCTGGGAAGATCTGATATTCCATCTGGAAAATAAGGATTATGTTTATCAGTTTCAGTGATTCAGCACAAAAGATTAGAAAGTTAATTGAATACTGTGTTTCTAAACAACATTTATATTTAGTATGTTTTTTCTCATAGAATGTTTATATTCAAGTTATATAAAGACATTCTTTAATACCAGGGAACCATGACATGAATGTACTTCATACAAGCCTTCCTGTTGCCTCATGTGGTTAGTTGCCATATTTTGAGCACTCTAATGAGAAATATCAGATATACCAGCCTCCAAGTAAATTACTGCAATCAATATTCTCTGCAAACATGCAGCGACTTATTCTTCAGGGGAGCAAGAAAAATCAAAAAAGATTGCTAGGTTTAAAAAAAAAACAAACAACTTTTTTTGTTGGTTGTTTATACTTTAATAACCTTTTCATTAACCCTTTACCATGTACTTTAAAAAAAAGATAGCAGTGAATCATCAACGAAGTCACCGAAGGGAAAAAGTGATCTCTAGTTTTGTTTGAGAAAATAATCTCATGGATGCTTTTAAAATGTTAATTCATGATTAATATTTCTATGTGGAAGAGAGTTAAGGGGTTTTTTTCCCTTAAATAAATCAGTCAAATGTCTTTTTGTAATTATAAAAATAATATTTTGCATTTGTGGGACTTTTTAACTGCTTATGTCTTTAGGAATTTATTCTGTTTTTCAGACATGTTGGCAGTTAGTTAGATAACCAAGTAAGGAGTCCTACATGTAGCATTTGTTTAAGAATGTAAAGTTAATCTGATTATTCCTTGCAGTGAAATACATAATTGTGAGATTCACTGACTCTTTTAATTTACTAATGATTTGCCATACTTAATTTTATGCCAAAATATGTCTTCTTTAGGATTTAAGGCTGTGTTACAGTAATACATATCATTTATAAGCAGAAGTGATTTCCATTTTCGGTAGATTTTGTACATACTACTTAATCATTCCCAAAATTACCTTGAGTGTAGAAATTCACCTAAGCAAGTCCACTGAATTGTTTAAAAGGTATGGAAAGGAACATCTTGCCTATGATGAACACAGTCTTATTTTGCATTCCTTGGGGTTTGGTAAAATGAACTGATGCAGATTATTCCAATCAAGGGATTGCTCAGGCCCAAATTAGGTTCTGTTGCAGTCATGACTGTTGGAATTCTGACTAATCCTCTCCGATACCAGTCAATTATACCTTTGTAATGCTTCTCCAAGCAGACTTGACTGAATGTAATGCCCAGCATTGGTTAAGGGTGGCTGTGTAAAAACATGAACTGCTCGTCATTAGCCCCAGGAAATAATCCCCAGAATCCCTTAAACTCCAAATCCTCTAATTTAGGTATTGGAACTTTGACTTGAACAACAGTGGAAAAAAGTTGACTGACTTGGGTTTTCTGTATTCCTGGCACAGACAAGTGTTACTGCTGGTAGATTTGTGAAAGTGCCTTTACTTTGGTGTGCAAAGGAAAAGAGGGTTGCTATTGTTTCACTTCTGTGTACAAGGTTGCCAAGGTAGTAACCAGAAACTCACAGTTTTCTCCCCTTTAGAGCTGATTGCACTCCTTACAGACATAGTGCAGCAGACTTCTGATGTTGATGTATCTTTCTGCGTTTGAAAATGGGTCACACTTTCTGATAGTAGCTTCCTTGTATTTTGGGCAGGGATTTGTTGCAAAAGGAACAGGATTTCTCCACACAGATCTTTCACTGGTATGGCACCCCCAGGCAGATCAGGCGCTCAAGTTTGAGGCCAAATGCTCTCAATTCCTACCCTTGCTGTAGGTCCTTCTTGACATGGCAGCAGTGTTGAAAATGCAGCTTACACAAGCAGTCAAACACGGAACGATCTTGTTTCAAGGACCTGGATATACCAAAGCCCTTAGAATTATTGCAGTTGTCTTTGGAATATTCACTTGCTCAGTGTATTGGGAAATCCACTAACAGAGACCATGAGATGTTTTGTAGCACAAACCCTCAAAAGCCTTGGCTATTGTTAAACATCTCACATTCTTATCTTTCTTTCAACAAATAAACCACTTACAACGTAGTCACAAAATTTGTATTAAAAACACAGAAAAACAATTAAAATTAACTCAGTGTTCTGTGTAGGCCAGGTTTCCCCTTTTCATGTTTACCTAATTTTGTTTAATTTCTGTCCTTCATGTCATTATTTTTTTAAACTTTTATCCCTGGTAATTAACCACAGTAAAGAAAAGTAAATGTAGATCTTGGAAATTATGCTTGTGGGATCACGTCACATTTTAAGATATTTACCACAAGCAACATAAGAGTTTCTTCTGTGCTTGTTTAGTCAGGCTTTTGTTCTGAAATTGTCATAGTTCTGTAAATAGAGGAGTTAAGAGTTTTAATCTGTTTTGTTTATATTTCTCACCATATAAAATATCCTCTAATGTAAGCTTTAAAGAATATGAGCTTACAGGGAGGTGTATTTATTAGATGATTTTTATTTCCTTAGATTATTTTAGGCAATTATTAGTTTTCTAAAAGACTGCTTGCATGAATCAGATGTGTGTTTCCTTTTATAGAAATTAACTTTAAGATGCAAAGTTCCTTCCAGCCCTTGCTGCAGTAAGAGTTTTGTCTGTCAGTTTTCAGTGTTAGGTGGTGGGGATTTTTCAGATTTCCAGATTTGCAAAGTATGGAATATGTGGGGGCAATCAGATTGTCTTTCGAAAATATTTGTGTCAATAATAGACCTCTGAACTGAAAGGTTACCCTCTAATAAACAGAGGAAATTTAAAAAGATTTCATTACAAAAGAAGTTAATCTAGAATCAGGATATCTTTTTTTAGACATAGTTTATCCCTAGTGAGGGAAAGCTCTGAAATGTGGCCAGTTCTCAGCTCTTTAAAACATCAGCTTAGTTTATTAAGTTTCCAAGTTGACATCCTGGCTCAGAAAGTACTGACACATGAATAAAAGGATAAATTCAAAAGTTGTTGCAAGGGTTTGTATTTCACTTCCAACTTCTAAGCTTGTTCATGTGCAAGTCACACTAGAATTCAAGTGAGCCTTGAATATAAAACAACATTGTTTTTTGTCATGAAGAGCTGATGGCTGGAAAAGGAGAGATTCCTTGTGATTTTTACAGTATGGGAGTACTCATGTATATCAGTGATGTGCTATGAAAGTCTCTCTCCAGAATTCAGATAAAAGCGAGGTGCAATCAAGTCTCAATCTTCCAAAGATCTGGCTACCAAAAATATTTTGTTATAGATTGAAACATCTTTATATTTTCAAAGTAGTTATAAAAATTGCAAGAAATCTCTCCCTCCACTTTTAGTAAGGATGACTTTAATATGTGTTTATGAGTACGAAACAATAAATACAGTGTTAAATAGTATAATAATAGAAAGGTTTGATTAAGAGTGAGTTTCCAGTTTGTTTCTGTCAGGAGTCTGTGAGAACAGTATTTTGTGGTAAATAAATCCTTTACACTCACATGTCAGTAAAGCTGAGCTATGTAGATAAGCCCATCATAATATTCAAAGTGTGAGTTGTTGATCCTTACTGGGATACCACAAGCAGTTGAAAATGAAGCTGAGATTTTTATACCACTTTGCAAAAAACGCATTGCCTTTTTCTTGTATTTTACCCCCTTTAATCCATAGCACCTAAATGGACATGTTTCATTATCACTTGAAGGGAGTCTCACCTGGAAATAGCCCAATGGTGAAAATGTGCAATATCTTGGGATGAAGTGGATAAGTTGAATTCTGTCGAAAAAGACATTTTCGAGA